TAACAAGACGTAGGGAAAGAAAACAATAGACGGACAACGAAAGGACAGGACCACGGGGTCTAAATACGCACAAGGAGACACAGGCGTAAGACATCAGGACAGACAGGAAGTATGACTCAAAAACAACAAGAAAACAAATAAATATCAAAAATAAAACCAAGAAAAATAAAATCAACAAAATGTACACACCATGTCACGGGTCTCCAACCTGTAGCTCGCCACCCTTCAGGTAGCTCGCCATGGGATTTGAAAATGAACAAATCAAACAATATACTGAATATTTCTGAATGTATTTATTATTATTATTTCTATTTGTAAATTAAAACTTACTTTGTGTACAAGTAACAAATATGTGATGATAAATAATGACTGACCCCGATATCAGGCTCATTCTCACTAATATATTACCTAGTTTCTTAATCTTTATTGAACGGACGGTGTACAGAGACATTAAGCTCATAGAGACCGATAGTTTCTATTGAAATAAATACAATATACAGCATGAAAGTGCATTTTAATTTACATTTCCTGGGGTTAACAACATTTCCAACTATATTAGCCAGGGCCGTAAAAGGAGTAGCTCTCTGCCTTTTTCGTCTCAGGAATGTAGCTCTCTGGGTTAAAAAAGGTCGGAGACACCTGGACTATCAAAAACAAATCTTTTCTAGTCTCGTACTTGTGTCCCACTCATCTCCAGTCAGCAGCGCGGCTATGGGCTGTTTCCTCTGGTCCTCTGAGTCTCCCCCTGATCTGCTGTCAACACTTTGTTTGTGCTTTTGGCTGCGGTCCAGATCAGCACCAGGGACAGCTCCAAACACACACACACACACACACACACACACACACACACAGCACTCTTTCGGATCACGCAGGACTTCCCATTTCAGATGAAGTTCCGCTGGATTCCCGCTGAGCACATTTGATATCTCTGTTATTACTGTACATCCAACTCATAAACACTTTAGCGCTTCGATCCCACAAGTTTCAACCGTGCAAAACCGTTCTCATCCATATATTAAAGATTTCATACAAGTCACAGCGTGTATCATTTCTCAATTTCGATCAACGACTACTATGACAACTACACAGACCTTGTAACAATATTTAAAGATTCATTTTGGGCACATTTTTCTTCTATCATTTTGAAATCTACCTAAATCTAAATAATTTCTAAGAAAATGCTGCTGCTCTACAGAGAGAATCTATGACCCCGGGGAGTTGTCATCCTGTATTATAAAAAGACAAAGTTGAGTAAATGAGAAGAGAATCAATAATATCCCGCTCCAAAGAAATTAAGATTTTAATTTCTAATCTATTTCTAAGATTATTGAAAACATAAATTGTCTTGAGATCGCAGTCTGTGTTCGTAAAACTACTTGGAGAGTGTTTTATTCAGAGAAACCGTTTCTTTGTGGTTGTCTCTGGGTCCAAAAGTTGTGAAAAGCAGAAATAGAAAGTCCCAGTGATTCTCTGAGTGTTTGAGGAAATGAGGAACAAGTGAAAGTGGAGACGAAACGCTCTATTTCACGACAATGCAGCGGCAAAAACAAAGTTATGCTTCATCACAGTTGTGTTACTGTCTTCGGTGCGAGCCTGAGGTGTGCTGCTGCTTGTGTGTGTGTACTGCAGTGTGTGTGTGTGTGTGTGTGTGTGTGTGTGCGTGTGTGTGTGTGTGTGTATGCTGGTGAGTGTGTGTGTGTGTGTGCGTGTGTGTGTGTGTGTGTGTATGCTGGTGAGTGTGTGTGCTGGTGTGTGTGTGTGTATGCTGGTGAGTGTGTGTGCTGGTGTGTGTGTGTGTGTGTATGCTGGTGAGTGTGTGTGCGTGTGTGTTTGTGTGTGTGTATGCTGCTGAGTGTGTGTGTTTGTGTGTATGCTACTGAGTGTGTGTGTGATGGGGGGTGTGCTACTGTGTATGTATGCTGCTGTGTGTTGGTGTGAGTGCTACTTTGTGTGTCCTGGTGTGTGTATGTGTTGCTATATATGTGTGTGTGTGTGTGTGTGTGTGTGTGTGTGTGTGTGTGTGTGTGCTTCTGTGTGTATGTGCTGGTGTGCGTGTGCTGGTGTGTGTATGCTGGTGTGTGTGTGCAGGTGTGTGTTTCTGTGTGTATGTGCTGGTGTGCGTGTGCTGGTGTGTGTATGCTGGTGTGTGTGTGCAGGTGTGTGTTTCTGTGTGTATGTGCTGGTGTGTGCGTGTGTGTATGTGTTGCTATATATGTGTGTATGCTGGTGTGTGTGTGTGCAGGTGTGTGTATGTGTTTCTGTGTGTATGTGCTGGTGTGTGCGTGTGTGTATGTGTTGCTATATATGTGTGTGTGTGTGTGTGGTAGTCTATATATGCTGCTGTGTGTGTGTGTGTTTGTGTGTGTATATGCTGGTGTGTGTGTGTGTATGCTAGTGTATATGCTGCTGTGTGTGTAGGTGCTGGCGTGTGTGTGCTGCTGTGTGTGTTTATGTGTGTGTGTATGCTGGTGTGTGTGTGTGCTGCTGTGTGTGTAGGTGCTGCTGTGTGTGTTTCTGTGTGTGTCGGTCCATGTTAAACAAATACAAAACAGATTCTTGTCACATTGAAACACAAAAATCTGTTTTTTGGCCACAGAGAAAAACACATTTGAATCTGAAGGTAGTCGTTTCTTTTGACCTATTTCAAAACCTGTTTCTTCTGGAGTCGAACCAAAACAGACGAAGTGAAATTAACATGAATGCGACTCTTGTGAAGATTTCAAGCCCGAAAATGAGTTTCCAACGAACAGAAAAACATAAACAGCCGACTCCAGCTCTTTGAAGCAGATTATTCATTTCAAGTGATTGATCTAAAAATACTCCACGACTCCATGAAGCAGAAGAGTCAAACATCAACAAATCCATCGGTCTGTGTTTATTATTATATCTATTTTTATTATTATTTATTTATTTATTATTTATTTTATTTATTTGTTTTTGTTTTCTCCCCTTTCAGTGATGGGTCAGAAGAAAACACGTGAAAATAAATGGTAAAAAAAAAAAGTATCTACCTCGCTATTACTGTAGGGATGCAGATCTTTACAGGGATATATACTTTTAAATTAGACACAATATTGTTTTTTCTATTGAGGAATGTCATTTTTTATTTTTCAGATTTTTAAAAATATTTATCTTGTTTATATTTATATTTCCAATCCACTTTATATAGCACATTTTATAAAACAGATAAAAGTGAATTATAATAAACCATTAAAGCCATTAAAATAAAGTAAATTAAAATAAAATAAAATCTATTAAAATATAATCAAAACAATAAAAGTAAAATACAATCAAAATAATTATATTAAAATAAAAACAATCATCTATATACATAAATAACATAAAACATATATTAATATTTTTTTATAGAGACAGGTGGTGGGAGTCAGTTTGTCTCCAGGCAGCAGTGGCTACAGTAGTAGTTTATCACCACCGTGTACAGAGTGTGAAGTGTCTTTGAGTGTACAAAAAGAGCTATGTATATATAAAACCGATGCAATATTATTATTTTTATTATGTCATATGTGAAATTGGACCGGAAAATTAAATACGATTAGAGGATTTGTTGATGAATGTGACATCAACCTGCCATGGGGCTTCAGATGGAAACCAGGCTTCATGGCTAAATCTGGACCATTCAAATCAGGGGTCTCCAACCTTTTTCAATCGGAGAGCTACATTTATACAACAGAAGAGGCAGAAAGCTACAAATGTACTTGACTCCAAAAACCTTCAAACCTTCATATTTCTAGCTTTGATCCATTATTAATCTTTTTTTCTCTTTTGGACAGAGCGACACCAAAAAACGTGCAACTTTCTCGTTCAAATGAAGTGAAATGAGAGGTTAATTGTGCACATTAGCAAACACTGAAGTGAAAAGCACAAGGACAACACAATAATTGCAGTACAAGGCCCTGAGCGCGTGTCATTGAGAAAGTCGCTGTTGCCTGAAATTGACTTTATGCTTTTATTGACATGGCTCCCACATTAGTGCCTCTTCACCACCGCTGCAGCGCGCCGCCAACACACGCCACTTTCTGTTTGATTTGGTTTAATCATGTCTGTTTTACGCCATTATTTAGACTTTAGAGAACAAAGAGAAATGGTGGGAACTGAGGCCCACAGGAGAACAGGCGCGAGCAGAGGAGGCGGTATACAAGTGTTGCTTTTGTTTGGCTTTGATCAAGAGGAAAAAAAATACTAACAAAGAATACTTGAAATGCTGCAGAGATATTTGCTCAAAACGTGTTGCGTTCTTTTACGATATTTCTATTAAAAAGGCAATTCTTCCATATGGGGGGGACAGGGCCTGGACCAAAGCTATGGATCGCTCTGCCTCCCCACCTCAAAACAGCCCCCTCATTGGATTTTATAAAGTTCTTTCTTAAAAATCACACCAAAACAAATAAAACATTAAGACAAAGAACGTAAAAGGAAAACAGAAATATCTACCTCTCTGGCTTTTAACACCGCATTAATTATACAAATAATAATAATTATCAAAATAATAATGCATTGGTTCTATACATTGCTTTTCAGGATGCTCAAAGACGCTTACCATGTTCTTTTTCTTTCACTACTGTAGCCACAGCTGCCCTGAGGCACACTGACAGAAGTGAGGCAACCAGTATGTACCACCGGGCCCTGACCCAAGGGAGACATTTCTTGAATTTTCTTGTATCTTTTTTTTGCTTCTTCCATCGGCAACTCTGGCTCAAATGTAAAATGTGAAATTAAGACAAAAACACATAATTTTTACCTAATATTTTATCATTTTTTGCAGTGTGTCACAGCTGTAGGAAAACCCAATTAAAATATAGAAAGTAAGTAAGTACGTTTTTATACAGCGCCTTTCACAAACCAGAGTCACAAAGATCTTTACAGTGCATGTGTAGGACAAGAGCCAGAGCAAGAGTAGCACACAGGGGGACTCTTGCACAAGTATTCCAATGTGGTTTTACTGCAAATGGCAAATAAACTGAATCTTGAATCTGACTCACCTGACTCCGGTGCATGTGCTGAGGGCCACCCAGGAGTCGGCGTGGCCCCTCACCTGGCCGTGGTAGAAGCAGTGATCCTGAAACACAACATTCAACAGGATCAATAGTCCATCTCCACCTGCAGGAAGCGTCGTCTGCACCTCACGCTGGTGCCACGATGATATTTAATATTTATGGAGACGTGCTCGGGGTGCAGCCTATAACCGGTCGATGATCTCGCTCGATCCCGCCGTCTGAGTGTTCATAAAGCCAGACCGCCACAGAAATGTCAATGTCACTGCGGCTTCAAACGCTTCTCTCTGTTGCGTACGAGACGGGCATTAACCAAGCAAATTGCAACACCAATATGCTAATTTTTTACTCCTGAAATTATATCACATCAAATTGATTTTTCACCGCAAAAAATCACCGTCACGTAACCCTTTTAGGCGCCAGAGGTTTTTTTTTTTTTACTTAGAGGCCACATTATCCAAATGTTTTAATAACATAAATGTGTAATGGAAATAGAGGTGTTGTTTATGTTATGTTTTATTTATGTACTTGTGACCACTGGGGACTTTTGCAAATGTATTCCAATGTGGTTTTACTGCAAATTGCAAATTAATGAATCTGAGGCTTTACGTAGATTACAGATATTATAAGGATGGCCCAAAGTTTATGTAGGAATGAAATGTACCCATCTAATTTGCATATTATGACTTCATACAGTGGTGGCAATCGTGGATTTTCATGGAATCAATCAATCAATCAAATTTTATTTATAAAGCGCTTTTCATACAAAAGATGCAACACAAAGTGCTTTACAGTTTGGTTAAAAACAAACACACACTGTATATATTTTTTTACTGACAGCCATACAACTCACTAGGTCATGAACACACTCACACACACAGAACTCACACTGTGCCATAATCAAGGGTCAGGGAAAAAGTAAAAGAGAGTAAATCATTGTGTTGTAGGGAGTTTGAATGAATTTTCACTCCCAGCTTGACACAATCGGTTTTAAACTTGTTGGTGATATGTGTGATAGTTCAGTGTGTCTCTGAGCTTGTGTTGTTATATTGTGTTTGTATGAGTTCCACTTGATATTGTAAAAGTTTTTTTTATGTTTTTATTGTTTTATTTTTTACCTCTCTATTCTTGCCCCTGGTGGGATTAATAAAGCAGTCTGAATCTGATTAGTTTGAAGATGTTTTACTCTATAGGCTCAGTGGGGCGACAGAAGCATTTAAAGTGATAGTCTGTAACTCTAAATGAATTACACATTTTAAAAATTTTATTAAATTGACCTGTTGGCCTTAAATGTTGATATAAATTTTTTATTTTTATTTATTTATTCTAATATCACGTGTAAGTCCCGCCTTCCCTTCTCTTAGCTATAGCTCAAAATCCACGATGCCGTCCACGTTATCCAATCAAGTGATGCCAAGGGCTGTCAATCATCGACGCTGATGCTCGTATTAGCTGCTCATGCTCAGTTGTTTGTTTTCACGGAGCCTCCGAATCAAGCCTTTATAGGCTCTGGAAGTACATGAAAACTGAACAAAGAATTCTGAACATCTGCGCTGAGGTACTCATTTATATACTGAACCTATATCCATAATCATTTATATACTGAACCTATTTCCATAATCATTTATATACTGAACCTATATCCATAATCATTTATATACTGAACCTATTTCCATAATCATTTATATACTCCATAATCAGATCCTATAATGGTCTACTAATGATAACAGCTATTTCCGGGTTTACTGCGATCGCTTTTTTTGTGCACTAAAACATTATTTTTGTGATGAAAATGTTAACAAATAATTCTGAAAACCTCCTTCTCCACTGACTCTCACTGATGTTTGCTGTCGTGGTGTCCTTGGGCAAGACACTTAACTCAACTTCTTTGCCTGACTTTGGCTGCTTTGTCATCACAGAGCAGCCATCTGCAGGAGGATCAGTGAGGGGCTGGTGCTCTGTGAAATGGGTGACTGCCACTCCCCTGACCCAGAAATGGACAAAGGGGAAGAAAATGGATGGACTGATGGATGGACACTCGAGGCTCAAATGAAACTAACATAATGGCTGCATTTCTAGAATCCTCTAACTTAAAGGATATTGGATAAGCATTTACGAGCGAGGGAAGGATGGAGCGTGAGATTGACAGGCGGATCGGTGCAGTGATGCGGTCGCTGTATCGGACCGTTGTGGTAAAGAGGGAGCTGAGCCGAAAGGCAAAGCTCTCAATTTACCGGTCAATCTTCGTTCCCTCCCTCACCTATGGTCATGAGCTTTGGGTAATGACCGAAAGAACGAGATCGCGGATACAAGCGGTCGAAATGAGCTTCCTCCGCAGAGTGGCTGGGCGCTCCCTTAAAGATAGGGTGTGGAGCTCAGTCACACGGGAGGAGCTCGGAGTAGAGCCGCTGCTTCTTCACGTCGAGAGGAACCAGTTGAGGTGGCTCGGGCATCTGTTCCGGATGCTTCCTGAACGCCTCCCTGGGGAGGTGTTCCGGGCACGTCCCACCGGGAGGAGGCCCCGGGGAAGACCCAGGACACGCTGGAGGGACTATGTCTCTCAGCTGGCCTGGGAGCGCCTTGGGGTCCCCCCGGACGAGCTGGAGGAAGTGTGTGTGGATAGGGAAGTCTGGGCGTCTCTGCTTAGACTGCTCCCCCCGCGACCCGGCAACGGATGAAGCGGAAGAAGATGGAATGGAATGGAATGTAATAAGCATTTAAACAGGTTACAACATTGTTCCCTACCTGAAAATATATGTATATGGAAATTATTGTTGTCATCTGTATCTGTGCAATATACTGTATATCCTCAATCCTTTTTCCAGCAAACAAATTCATCACACCAGAAACATCACAACAATTCATATTTCTTGTCAGGAGGTAAAGTGATCTCCAGTGTTTGTCTGTTTGAATCTTTTGTCTGTGAGCCACGTAGCGCAAAATGTTCTGGGAGGATTTGGACCAAAGTGTGTAGTCCCCAGAGCAGAAGTTCGGGAACCTTTTTAGCCTTTTTTTTCTGTGCAAGATCAACACAGTTGGAGTGTAATAATAGTCTACAGAGATAGTGTATAATTTTGTGTATTAAATGTTTGTATGGAAGAAATTGAATACATAAAACATTCTTATAATTAATGCCTCCTTAGATGGGTCTGAGAGTGAAGGTCCTAGAGCAGGGGTGTCAAACTCATTTTGGTCCAGGGGCCACATACAACCTAATCTGATCTCAAGTGGGCCGGACCAGGAGATGCTCTACAAAAATATCCAAAAACGGTACAAAGTCCAACTTTTTGTGCACATAAACACATTTATTTAAAACTTCCTTTAAAACACTATCCTTTAATACTCAGTTTTCTGTTACAAACTTAAATGTAACAGTGAGTTTTCCATAGTGCAAATAATGTAATGTATTTACAATATTACATTGAAAATGGTATTTCACAATATGTATATTAATATTTGTATGTTAGCTTTGTTTTAAGGCTCATTACAGAGAAAACTTGCTCACAAAGGTAAAGTAGACAGAAAAAAGCACTTTAACACAGCACCTCAGCTTAACCATCTTCAGTGTGGTAAGGTCCATGGTTATGTTATTATCACATTAACCATCTTCAGTGTGGTCAGGTCCATGGTTATGTTATTATCACATTAACCATCTTCAGTGTGGTCAGGTCCATGGTTATGTTATTATCACATTAACCATCTTCAGTGTGGTAAGGTCCATGGTTATGTTATTATCACATTAACCATCTTCAGTGTGGTAAGGTCCATGGTTATGTTATTATCACATTAACCATCTTCAGTGTGGTAAGGTCCATGGTTATGTTATTATCACATTAACCATCTTCAGTGTGGTCAGGTCCATGGTTATGTTATTATCACATTAACCATCTTCAGTAAGGTCCATGGTTATGTTATTATCACATTAACCATCTTCAGTGTGGTAAGGTCCATGGTTATGTTATTATCACATTAACCATCTTCAGTGGTGGTAAGGTCCATGGTTATGTTATTATCACATTAACCATCTTCAGTGTGGTAAGGTCCATGGTTATGTTATTATCACATTAACCATCTTCAGTGTGGTCAGGTCCATGGTTATGTTATTATCACATTAACCATCTTCAGTAAGGTCCATGGTTATGTTATTATCACATTAACCATCTTCAGTGTGGTCAGGTCCATGGTTATGTTATTATCACATTAACCATCTTCAGTAAGGTCCATGGTTATGTTATTATCACATTAACCATCTTCAGTGTGGTAAGGTCCATGGTTATGTTATTATCACATTAACCATCTTCAGTGTGGTAAGGTCCATGGTTATGTTATTATCACATTAACCATCTTCAGTGTGGTCAGGTCCATGGTTATGTTATTATCACAATAACCATCTTCAGTGTGGTACGGTCCATGGTTATGTTATTATCACAATAACCATCTTCAGTGTGTAAGGTCCATGGTTATGTTATTATCACATTAACCATCTTCAGTGTGGTCAGGTCCATGGTTATGTTATTATCACAATAACCATCTTCAGTGTGGTACGGTCCATGGTTATGTTATTATCACAATAACCATCTTCAGTGTGTAAGGTCCATGGTTATGTTATTATCACAATAACCATCTTCAGTGTGGTACGGTCCATGGTTATGTTATTATCACATTAACCATCTTCAGTGTGGTCAGGTCCATGGTTATGTTATTATCACATTAACCATCTTCAGTAAGGTCCATGGTTATGTTATTATCACATTAACCATCTTCAGTGTGGTCAGGTCCATGGTTATGTTATTATCACATTAACCATCTTCAGTGTGGTCAGTCCATGGTTATGTTATTATCACAGACTCTCTGGGCGGCACGGTGGCTGAGTGGATAGCACTCTCGCCTCTCAGCAAGAAGGTCCTGGGTTCGAATCCCGGTCGGACCAGGGCCTTTCTGAGTGGAGTTTGCATGTTCTCCCCGTGTCTGCGTAGGTTTCCTCCGGGTACTCCGGTTTCCCCTACCACTAAAAATATGTCCAATAGTTCTGGCATGCGCCTCCTGTACTGGCGACCGCGCTCCC